TGAACTTTCAGAATTTGGGATTAATAGCACTTTCACATTTTCTCCCTAGAGATAGAATCCTTCAAGGATGAATTTTATAAAAGTCTTTGATATTGATAATAGTCATGAAAGTTAACTATTCAAGGTCAGATGATTGCATGATAATATTAATTTTCTTTCTTTTTTGGAAGAGGTTATGACTTTGAATGTTAAATGCCACTGTAAGATCATTCAATAGAATATACTTACTGGATTAGGTTTCTGAAATGTTTGTATTTTTATGAAAGCCTGTAAGTATATTGCTAATGTAGGTGCGAAAACTAATCTACCCATTAGTGTACTATTGGGATCAATTATGTCTGATGAGAATCCAGGATTTTACTTCCATTCAGGATTTGTCTCTTAGAGCAGAGATAGATGACAGTTTGAGTCACAGATGTTGTGGCTCAGTTGTAAGGTGGATTCGGTGCTTCTTCCTCAGGAACATGTGGGATGTGTTGGTGATGTTCTTGGATACCATTTGAGAAAGCAGCCCATGACAAAAGAGCAGGCAGTTGTGTGCTTGTGCCACCGAATAATCTCTATTTAAGGTGCAGATCATTTGTTTCCGCTTATTTACCATGGAAACTTGGTTGCATGTGGCATGTGTGGTTATGTGCTAGAATTTTAAAACTGCGTTTCAAGCACAATAAATGTTTCTTTTCTACGTATATGGCTTTGTTTATTTTTTGTGTGGTGGCGTATGTAGTGGGGAGGAAGTATCTCTTGAATGATCCTTCGTTGGTGCTGAGTGGTATGTATCTGGCTTGGTTAGCACCCAGGCTGTGGTGAGGAGGTCTGCTGACTCTGGCCCAGGGTACATCGTGGTGCTCACTGAACAAGGCTTTCACTAAATGAAGCATCCAGGCACAAAAAAACCTTACAAGAAATTTTTGAGTTTTAAGATGTTGATAAATAGATATCTTTTTTTCTTGGGATATCTTCATACCACTTTAAAATAAAAAGGGGGTTGTCTTTTTCCGCCTTCTTCTTATATTTGCAGATTTTTTTTTCTTGAGACGGAGTCTTGCTCTGTTGCCCAGGCTGGAGTGCCATGGCTCGATCTTGGCTCACTGCAACTTCCGCCTCCCGGGTTCAAGCAATTCTCCCACGTCAGCCTCCCGAAAGCTTGGATTACAGGCATGCACCATCATACCGGCTAATTTTTATATTTTTAGTAGAGACAGGGTTTGCCATGTTGGCCAGGCTGGTCTCAAACTCCTGACCTCAGGTGATCCACCTGCCTCAGCCTCCCAAAGTGCTGGGATTACAGGCATGAGCCACAACCTCTGGCCATATTTGCAGATTAACAATTTATTTAGATAGCTTTGTATGCCTGACTGAGCCTGAGTCCCTGAAGTACAATTTAAAATATGCAGAAATTTAACCCCCCTCTAGGCATCAAGCATAGCAGTAGCTCAGTTACTCAGTGCCTAAGGTCTAGTCAGTTCTCCTTCCAAAGCACATCCACCTTCTAACCACCCCCACTTTGCCACCCCCAAGGCTGCACCACCATCATCTCTGGAGCAGCCTCCCAAGTGTACCCTGCTTCCATTGTTGCCACCTAGAATCTATTTTCCCTGCAGCCCCGGGAAGAATCTTTTACAGATACACTCAAGGGTAGTGTCAGTTATTAGCTTAAAACCCTGCAATTGCTTCCTATCACACTTGGGCTCACCCACCTTCCTCCCCAGCCTCATGTCGAAGTCTCTCCACTGCCCACCAGACTCAGCCACACCAAAGTTGTGGTTGCTCCCGCATGTTGAGTTGTTTCCTTTGCCCGAAACACTATTCTTGATCTGTGCGTGACCCATTCCTCTTGACATTGAGTTCTCAGTTTCAGTACCCACTCAGGGAGGCCTTCCCTGATCACCAGATCTAAAAATAGTCACTCTCTATCACATGACTATACTGTCATTTTTTTTAATTTAAACTTTCTTGCCTGTTCTCGTGAGGTTTTTGTCTAGCTCCTACTACTAGGATATAAGCTTCCCTAGAGCCAGGTCCTTGCTGTGTTTGTTTTTATCCCTAGCATCTGGTACAGTGCGGAGTACATAATAAGTCTTCACTGTATTTTGGTTCAATGAGTGAATAATAGCTGTATTCAAGGGAGAAGCTATGTTTAAAGCTCATCAGCTCAGGATAAAGAATTGCAATCATTTATTGAGCATCTACTGTGCACTGGTACTGTTCTTAGGTGCCATGTACTTACATCTTAATTTTTTTTTTCTTTTTTTTGGTACGGAGTTTTGCTCTTGTTGCCCAGATTGGAGTGCAATGGCGTGGTCTCGGCTCACCACAACCTCTGCCTCCAGGAGTCAAGCTATCTCCCTGCCTCAGCCCCTCCAGTAGCTGGGATTATAGGTGTGTGCCATCAAGCCTGGCTAGTTTTTGTATTTTTAGTAGAGGCGGGATTTCACTGCGTTGGCCAGACTGGTTTTGGACTCCCAGCTTCGAGAGTTCACCCACCTTGGTCTCCCAAAAGTGCTGGGATTGCAGGCATGAGCCACTGCGCCCAGCCCTTTGATAACATTTTTAAATTGCAGAGTTCAAACTTTAGAAAGAAGGAAGAAACCCATCATTTGGGGGGCATCCATCATCTCATTCAATCCTTTCTACAACCTCTAAAATATCTTCCCTGTTTAATAGTTGGGGAAACTGAGGCTTAGAGATACTAAGTAACTTGGCTAAGGTCACCCACCTATTATGAGACAGTGCTAAAATCTGAAACCCACTTTGCTCCAGAAGACCTATTCCTGGCAAGCACTGTTTTATTTTCTACTCACTTTTATCCCGGTAGGTTTTGTGGGGACTGTATACACTTTGGACTCTAAATGTTTTTCCTTTTCTTTTTCATAGAACTCTAAGAAGGAGCTGATGTGGAGGAGCAGCTGAGACAGTTCAAGATGACGACCACAGTAGCCACAGACTATGACAACATTGAGATCCAGCAGCAGTACAGTGATGTCAACAACCGCTGGGACGTCGATGACTGGGACAATGAGAACAGCTCCGCGCGGCTCTTTGAGCGGTCCCGCATCAAGGCTCTGGCAGGTGAGTCTTCTTCATGTCTGTCACAGAGGCCCTGGATGCCTAAGATCAGGATGCCCCTTAAAACCATCCACCCTGTTCCCATGACGCTGTCCTGTTTGAAGGTTGTCTCATGTCTACTTAAGTGTGTTCTGTGAGAGCCAGCTGACCATTTTGTAAGGTAGTTGGTTCCATATTTGGAGAGCTGACAACTCTAATGGCCAAAATTATTCAGAGCACAGAGTGTCATTTATAGCAATTCAAGAAGCGCTGCCCTAAGTTTGTAAGAATTCTTCTAGTTTTGACAAATCTTAACATTTCAAAATATTGAGGCATACTATTCCTTAGACTCAAAAGTATACAAATTAACTTGTATACTTAGTGCCTGTGACACATTAACTGGTCTGACTGGTACCAAGGTGGGTTAGTAGCACATGCATGGATTTTAAATCTGAAAAGCAATAGCTTAATCTGGTAGAGGCACATTTAATACAGTGACAGATCAGTTTGCCATTGGTTCGTTAGTTTGTGGAACATGTCCTTACTTTGTGATTTCTCATTCCCTTGTTGCTGGTGAACACTCAGAGCACACTTTCTCCATGGCCCTGGTGGTGGTGGGAGTGTTTTACCCTCAGATTGCCCTGAAAATCAGGAAAGGGTTCCCTGACTCTGAAAACTCAGCTGTACTGAGTATATGTAAACCAAGGATCAAAATGGAGTTTATTCAAGGTCCTGCATCTGTACTTTGAGATTTCAAATGAAATTTTTATTCCAAATGAGAAAAGTGGGTTTATGATTTTTTCCCTAATGTCTTCAATTGTGATAAGTAAATCAAAGTCATGACTGGAGCAGGCACGTTTACTGTTAATTCTATAACTCACGTTTTTGTTGCCTTTATAATGGATCTGATTATGAAGCATGCATCATTTAGAATCATCTTGATTGTGGACAAAGGAAACCTAACCCAGAGTGGTTTAAGTGACAAAGAGAATTTATTGGTCACACAGTAGGCAAATTCAGTCTTTAAGCAGGACTTACTCCTGGACTTTATAGTGTGACCAGGATCGAGTTTCTTTCTCTCTACTCTTTGGCTTTATTGCTAGTGCAGGCTCTGTTCACAAGCAGGCTCTATCCTGTAGTCCTAAGATAGCTGCCCCAGGCCTCCTAGGTCTATGGACATCCAGCAGAAAAGAGGATGCTTTTCTACTTTCCATGGCCCTGGTATCAGTCTCACTGGCGTGATTGACCATGACTTGGGTCATGTGCCTCTCCTACTGTAGTTGGGAGAATCTCGTATGCTCGTTGACTTCTAAACAGGATGCACCCCTTAGACTAGTGAAAGTTTGGTCGGTCTCAGCCAAACAAGTTGTCCAGAAAGATTGGAATATAACACGAAAGAGGAAGAGGAGAATGGATGTTGTGGGGACAGCTTAACTATGTGCTAAAAAAAAACTGTTCAGCTGCCTTAGGAAAATGTGTCTTTTGAGTGGTGGTGATTTAAAGACCTTTCTTGAGCTTGCCTGTGTGAATGATTAATCAGTCACTCTAAACTTGGGGCTTCATTATCATTCGTTAACATGGAACTTTATGGAAATCATGAGCCTGGCTTGTGCTAGTAGAGTGATTTGTATTTTAATCTCTCGCCTCTTTTTCTTGAATCTTCATTTGAGTCTTTAGACCAGTCTGGTAGTGGTGGCCAGTTGCCTTTGATCTTGAGTCTTTTACTTTCTGATTCCAGGCTATATATTACCTCCTTTTTTTTTGAGATGGAGATTCTCACTGTCACCTGGGCTGGAGTGTGAGCGATCTTGGCTTACTGCAACCTCCGCCTCCCGGGTTCAAGCAGTTCTCCTTGCCTTAGCCTCCCAAGTAGCTGGGATTACAGGCTTCCGCCACCATGCTTGGCTAATTTTTTTCTATTTTTAGTAGAGACAGGGTTTCACTATGTTAGCCAGGCTGGTCTAGAACTTCTGACCTCTTGATTTGCCTGCCACTACCTCCCAAAGTGCTTGGATTACAGGTGTTCACCAGCGCGCCAGGCTGTATTATCTCCTTTTTAAAGGACCATTTTGTTTGCATACTACAGAACAGTTCCTTGTTCTTTGCATTTGGTCTTTCCTACAGTTTGAGAGGAGCGCTTCCAGCTGTTTTTAGTATCCATCATTTGTCTTAACCTTTCTAGGCTGTTTATCTAGGTCCCTCAATAACTGTAGTCAGAATAATAGCAAGCACTCAATATGGTGCTTACTGTGTGCCAGGCACTGTGGGAAATGCCTGCATATATTAACAGTTAATCCTGTAACAATCATATGAGAGAGATTATTACTGTCTACATTGTATAGATGGTAAAACAGGTTCCAGAGCCTTTCCGCCGGAACCACCATCTTCCAGTAATTCGCCAAAATGACGAACACAAAGGGAAAGAGGAGAGGCACTCGATACATGTTCTCTAGGCCTTTTAGAAAACATGGAGTTGTTCCTTTGGCCATGTATATGCGAATCTATAAGAAAGGTGATATTGTAGACATCAAGGGAATGGGTACTGTTCAAAAAGGAATGCCCCACAAATGTTGTCATGGCAAAACTGGAAGAGTCTACAATGTTACCCAGCATGCTGTTGGCATTGTTGTAAACAAACAAGTTAAGGGCAAGATTCTTGCCAAGAGAATTAATGTGCGTATTGAGCACATCAAGCACTCTAAGAGCCGAGATAGCTTCCTAAAACGTGTGAAGGAAAATGATCAGAAAAAGAAAGAAGCCAAAGAGAAAGGTACCTGGGTCCAACTGAAGCGCCAGCCGGGTCCAACTGAAGCGCCAGCCTGCTCCACCCAGAGAAGCACACTTTGTGAGAACCAATGGGAGGGAGCCTGAGCTGCTGGAACCTATTCCCTATGAATTCATGGCATAATAGGTGTTAAAGAAAATAAAAGATCTCTGGACTGTAAAAAAAAAAAAAAAAAACCAGGTTCCAGAGAGATTAAGTAGCTTGCCCAAGGGCGTACTGCTGCTAAGTGGCTGAAGGCATACTGACTCTGCAGTGTATACTCTTTTTCAATATTCAGTAAAATTAAAAAAAAAAAGATTTAGAGCTCATTGTGGTAGAGAGTATTGGTAGTGAGGACATTCAAACATGTTGAAAAGATCTTTGGAATTCTCAGGAAGCTGTGGGGTCTGAAGAAACCCTGAGGAACCATGGCAAGGTACTGAAAAGGAAAGGTGCTGCTTCCAGGTTAAATGATATTGGGGTGGGAGGAATTGCATTCAGTGCGTTTACAAGATACCAGGAAAACTGTCTGTTGGAGGAAGGTAATGAAGGAAATTATCTTACTTATCCTACTTATTCTCTTATTTTCCCTATTCTGTGGGACAGAAAAATCTCTGAGCCCTCTGAAAAACTATATGTGGATAGCAGGAGTTACAGAACAATCCAGCAGTGTCTAGAATAGAACAGTGGTTCGAAAAGTGGAGGACTTGTTAAAGCACGGAATGCTGGGCCTACCCCCAAAGCTTCTGATTCAGTAGGCCTTGACAGGGAGGGGTGATCATTTGCATATCCAACAGGCCAGGTGATGCCCTGGCTTGGAGATCACATTTGTGACTGATTCCAGAGTACTGATGTCATCCGGTCCTCTTCCTTCAGTGTATGAGATCATTTCATCTGGACCCAGCTAAAGTCCAGAAGAAACAAAGTTTCAAACCAGACAGTTACCATAAGGATACACCTGATGTGGGAGTAGTGTGGAAGGCTAACCAGCTGACTTTGACAAAAGGGAGATACCTTCCTGTCCCTTACAGGGGAGTGATGTAGTGATAGGCCCAACAGGAGGGAGTGCTGTTGTGGGGTTTCTGCTGAATATGCATGTTCTAATGTGAGAAATCTTTGCTTAGAGCCATAAAAATGTACATATCACATTTCCTGTGTCCCTCTAGGGCTTTCAGTAAATATAATCTAATCCAGGCTTTAGTCTGAATTCTGAGGCAGATTTATAAAAGATGCAGGAATTCATCTTTTAATGGTGCATTTCAACTTATACTGATGGTAGAACCACCACCTGTGCCCTTTACTAAGCTGCTTTCCAGGTTTATGTATCTAAGGAAATAGGGTGAGGTAAACTGCTTGTTACTAATTTTCACCCAATTGACAGACAGTTCCTATTATTAGGTTGTTATATTTATATATATGTTCTTCCTGTGAGTTGTAAAAACCATTTTTTAAATAACTTTTACTTTACATATCTTCATCCTATTCACCCTCAGGAATTGCTTTTAATTCAATGCAGTATAATAAGAAATATATTTGGTCTTTGTTCTGGGTTCCCGGCATAGAGCTCCTGAAACCCACAGAGTCTCCTGAGTGATGGGAGTGTCTTTTGTTATCCATAAGTGCCCCTTTTCTCACACCTGAGTTTGTGCTAATTCCTTGACTTTGGTGGTGATAGTCTCCCACCCCTAACTAGCCTCAGGATGATGCTCTGCACCTAAGACAGAGTGATTAGAGGATTGGAATTTTCAGCACCACACACTAATCTCTGGGGAGGTGGTGCGGAGAGGGTGGGGTCCCCTGAGAGGACATGGAAGCCCCACCCCACCCCACCCCAGTACCTTGCCCTATGCGCTTACATTTGGCCGTTCCTGAGCTGTAGCATTTATAATAAATTGGTAAACATAAAGGGGAAAATGTTTTCCTGAGTTCTGTGAGGAGTTCTAGCATATTCTTGAACCCAATATATTAGGAACCCCTGAATGTATAGCCTGTGGCCTGAGACTTGTAATGGCATGTGATTTGGGGGCAGTCTTGTGGGACCAAGACCTTTATCCTACGGGATTTTTTTTTTTGTCATTTTTATTTTTTTTTTATTGCATTTTAGGTTTTGGGGTACATGTGAAGAACATGCAAGATTGTTGCATAGGTACACACGTGGCAGTGTGATTTCCTGCCTTCCTCCCCATCACCTATATCTGGCATTTATCCCCATGCTATCTCTCCCCAACTCTTTTTTTTTTTTTAAAAGATGGGGTTTCACTGTATTGGTCAGGTCGGTCTTGAACTTCTGACCTCAGGTGATCTACCTGCCTCAGCCTCCCAAAGTGCTGGAATTACAGGTGTGAGCCACCGCGCCCGGATTATCCTACGGGATTTGACAATAATGGCAAGTAGATGGTGTCAGAATTGAATAGAATTGTAGCATACCCCATTGGTATTGGGCAATCAGACTTCTAGGATATTTCACAGGGGAGTTAGAATCTCTGGTATAGTATGCAGCATGTCAGCTGGTTTTCTTGCTTGTTTGTTTAGAGTCTTCCTGTGTTGCCCAGGCTGCAGTACAGTGGTACAGTTATAGCTCACTACAGCCTTGAATTCCTGATCTCCAGTGATCCTCCTGCCTCAGCCTCTCGAGTTATATAACTGGGACTATAAGTGTGTGCCACAAAGCCTGGCTATGTCAGTTTTTTGTTTTGTTTTGTTTTGTTTTTTTAAAGATGGGGTTTCACTATGTTGGTCAGGCTGGTCTTGAACTCCCAACCTCAGGTGATCCGCCCGTCTTGGCCTCCAAAGTGCTTGGATTACAGGCGTGAGCCACCACGCCCGGCAAAGATGTTATTTTTTATTTTTATTTATTTTTAAATTTTTTGTTTTCATTTTTAATGTTTTTAATTTTTTTTTTTTTTTTTGAGAGATGGAGTTTCACTATGTTGGCCAGGATGGTCTCGATCTCTTAACCTCGTGATCCACCCGTCTCGGCCTCCCAGAATGCTGGGATTACAGGCATGAGCCACTGCGCCTAGCCAGTTTTTTTTCCAATGTAGAAATCAGGCCTGTGATCACTTGTCAAGTACCAGCTTATCATTCCAAAAATATATCAGCCTGGAATCGGTCACTTCCACTGCTCAGTTCTTTCATTTTCCTTAAACTCTGTTGGTTGAAAATCAGCCTGATTCAGATCTGAGTCACTCATCACCCACTTCAGCTCCTTAGTAACCAAAACATCAGCCTGATGATCAGGAGAGGAAGCATGGAGAACTTGACCCTGAGCGCCTGGCAGGATTGAAAGCAGCAGCTTTTTCTCCAAGCAGAGAAAAGCTTCGTCTGAAAGCTTCCCCCTCATGCAAGCTGAGTGATTAGAAACCTAAACTCTTCAGCTTGTAGAAATTTAAGACTTAGATATGTTTTAAGAAAATAATTAGAATTAACAGTGACTATTGCCATATACTCCAAAATTTTATGTTTCTATCCAAAAATATTTATATATATCCAAACTGTATGAACATGCAATCCTTAATAAAAGTTATTAATGCTATCCTTTACATTTTTTATACCACATCTTTGAAATATACATCTTTTGTATATGTAACAGACTGGCAAGTTATATACTTATTCCTAAAATAGAATTTGGAGTGAAACATGGTAGAAAACATGGAAGAATGTGGAGTGAAAACATCGGTACTTCCCCACTTCCGAGGTGTTACTGTTTACAGTTTGGAAGGAAGCTGAGGAGAGCATTGGTCAATCCTGTTAACTAGCACTGTGAGGTCGTTTTTATGTTTTCTGTAAATGATTGCCTATAGCCCATGATGGCAGGCCCACTTTCCTGACCTCTGCCCAGTTGCCTCAGTATCGTGGAACATGCAGTGATTCAAACTAAGCTGGACTTTTTGGAAACCAGCATTTTATTTGAAATAAAAAGAAAACAATTACACAATTTTAAAGACTACTTCTCCCCTAACTTGTGTTGATTCCACTGTGAGGCAAGAAGAGCTCCTTTCTGCTTGTGGCACAATAACAAAACTAGCACAAATTTCTTTCCTTCTTCTCTATTTCTCGGATAGAAGATTCATTCTTAACATAGACCTTAGAAAGCTCAGCATAGGATTTCTTTTCTTTTCTTACTGAGAACTTTTACTTTGTCACTTAAAGGAAGCACTTGACAGCGGCTTCTTTTTAGCATATCTGAATTGCCAGCCCAGGGCCATTATTTAGTCAAATAGAGGTTACCTGGACACAAGCACTGTGGTATCATGACAGTCAATCTGATAACCAAGACGGCTGCTAAATGACTAACAGGGAGCGTCTACAGTGTGTATCCGCTGGACAAAGGGATAATTCACATCCCAGGCGGGATGGGGCGAGATGGCGCAAGATTTCATCACACTGCTCAGAACGGCATGCAATTTAAAATGTATGAATTGCTTATTTCTGAAGTTTTTCATTTAATATTTCCAGACCATGGTTGACTGAGGTTAACTGAACCATGGAAAGTGAAACCCAGGCTAAAGGGGGACTGTGTGTGTGTGTGTGCGTGTGTGTGTGTGTGTGTGTGTGTGTGTGTAACATTTCACTTTCTAGTGAACGAACAGACCCAACACATTATTGAATATGTAAAGAAATCTATAAAATATGGCCTAAAATGATCTAATTAGGAAGAGGAAACCTACTTACATGAGACTGCCTATGTATACAAGTGCTAAGAAGTTAGTATAGGCAATTATCACTGTAGTAATTTTTTTTTTTTTTTTTTTTTGAGACAGTTTTGCTTTTGTTGCCTAGGCTGCAGTGCAGTGGCGTGATCTCAGCTCACTGCAACCTTTGCCACCCAGGTCCAAGCCTTTCTCCTGCCTCAGCCTCCTGCGTAGCTGGGACTACAGGTGACTGCCACCACTCCCAGCTAATTTTTGTATTTTTAGTAGAGACACATTTTCACCATGTTGGCCAGGCTGGTCTCAAACTCCTGACCTCAGGTGATCTGCCTTGGCCTCCCAAAGTACTGGGAGTACAGGTGTGAACCATCTTGCCAGGCCTGCTGTAGTAATTAAGAGGGAATGATCTCTCTCTCTCTCCCCCCATTTCTCTCTTTCTCTCTCTCTCTCTCTCTCTCACACACACACACACCCCAGTCATTTTAAGGGATAGGGTCTGGTAACCTGAAGAGCACTGGAACTTGGAGAGAGGAGGCTGGGACTTGAACCTCGCTGTGGCTGCTTCATTTTCCACTGCAGCAAAACTGAAGAGGCTAGGCCACAGGTCTCCTCTCCTTAAAACAGAAAGTCTGCTTTGGGTTGCTCACTGTAGTATATGCTATCT